CGATGTGGAGAAAATCAAATATCCTGATATTTTTTTGGACCAAATACCTCAACATCGATAATTATGATAATATTGTAGGGTTGGCTATTGGTGCTTTTTGATAAATTATTATTAGTACTTTGGATATGATAGCTAACTGGGTAAAGGCAAAAAGCAGAAAATAGCCAGTCTGGTAAGTTTGAAAAATTGCAGTACTTTACTGTAATTTGGCCTTTAAAACCGGGAAAAGACAAAATGTAGGATTATGTTGCAGCCCTATTGTGAAATAGCTCCTGTTGTATGTACTGTACAGTGTAAACAGTAGCCCAGCTGTAAACCTAATGAGCATAGCCTACTTATTATATGTAAAAAATCTTATATAAAAATGAGTCAAGGCTATAGGCAGTCCATTTACCTTGCTTAAGATGTATTAATAATGCACCCTAGAGCCTACATGTAGTCACAGAGTACAACATATAGAATGTAAATAACATGAAATCACTATTACAAGAAAATCTCTTAGCATTGGAGAGCATGTTCCATTAGTGCAATAAGTACAGGTGTGAGAAATATATATTTAAGTGCCATGTTGCTGTATTATGTCACAAGTGTGGGCTCTCAGACAGAGCCAGCCTCGCCTCAGGCTCCCGGCCCTGCTCCCAGGAGTAGCCAGGCGTGTGGGGTTGTTTGTTTTCGGCCGAACAATGAGTGACATGGATGATGAGCTCACACCAAAACGCAACAAAGGCCCGCCTGTAGTCCCGCCAGGCTCGCAACACAAACTCTCATTAACCTTCTTTACTCTCTGGCACACCCTCTGCCTCTCTCTGTGTCGTTAATCCCTCTCTCTGTGTCGGTCTTTCTATTTTCTTTCTTAAAACGATGGTTTCCACATCAGCTAAACCTCTTCAGTTTATTGTATTTTTATTCTCCTTCCTTTATCTGACATGTTATGCTTTATTGTTCATGTAAGAGCTTGATTCATTGACAGATAGCCTGGTTTGTTATGTGAATGCCAAAGTTCAGATGGCTGATATTTGTCTGATAACTGTCCAATACAATAAAACTTAGATGTTGATAATACGTTGGTCCAATCTACTGCTACTACTTGTTTTTTATTTCTAATGCAGTCTTCTTTTCCCCACAGGATGTGATTTACCATTTTGTCGCTGTGCTTTTCTACTTTGCTGCCTTCGTTTTGGAGGCAGCAACGACAGCAGCAAACGGAGGAGCTCATGTCAAGCCCCTGCCTAATAGCACTGACACTGTCATGTGTATAACCTACCCTCGGGGCAATATATTCACAGTCCTGAGTGACAGGCAATACAGTATTAATGTGGCAGCCACGGTGAGTGCTATATATCTTTAAAAAGAATAAGTCAGTATAATTTGTGCATTTTAATTCATATTATTATCATATTGCAGTACTATCTGAATGAATATAGCCTAATGTGAGACACCTTTGTGACGTTCTGAGGTAGGGGAGCTGCTGAATCTTCAACACTCAGCAACTCCCACCATGACAATCTAGACTGATAAATAGCACTACAGATAAGAGGAAAAATATGTGTTTTTGGTTTTGGGTGGAACCGTTGGAGTGTCGAAGTAAAACTAAATCTGACTTCAGCCGTATAGTTCTTTTTCCAAATATCCAAATTCTTTTGAACAACACTGTACAACAATGAAGACAAAATATTCTGGATATGGTCGCTGCCATCTTGGGCTAGTGACGTCATTTGGAGTCAGTCTGTACAGTTGTGATCACCACGGTATCGGGTTCCCGCCCATACACCCGTTTGACTAATCACGAGCAGCGTTGTTTGTTTTTGTTATTAGTTTGGTTGCAATAAACACCTGAACATACATACATCAGTGTGATATGGACTACCTAAAATGATAGAAACCATTTTGGGAAAACTTGATTTGATGTGCACTTGAGTTTTTAGCTAACATAAAGGGGGGCAGGGGCTATGACCTATCCTGCAGCCAGCCACCAGGGGGCGGTGGCTTTGCCTTCACTTTTATGGGGGGTGTCATGTCTTCAATTTTAATTATACAGGCTATAGCATATACAAAGTAACCCCCCTGTTCACTAAACTTCAGCTTTGGTCTTGTGTGTATTTAGATTTTTGCATTCACCTTGTCCTGATATCAGCTAAAACTGTGGGCTGTGTGATCAAAAAAGGAAGTGCTAGCCACTTTCTCTGACAGATATGCAGTAGGTTATGTTAGGTTACGTGGGGTGAGATTGTACTTTAGGTTCACAAAATATACCCAAACCATGTGCTGGCCCAAGATCTAAATTGAGGAGCTCATGCAAAAGGCAACACTTCTGTGCTGCATTTCCATATTCTCTCTATATTGTATGTCAAAGAAAAGGCCATTTGAAATGTTGAAAAGTTTTGAATAATGATTATTTAAGCCATTTATCATGCAAAAAACATTTTCTAGTTAAGGTTATAAAATGTTTCACAGAGCTTTTCTAACATTTCATATATTTGTTGTTTGCTTTCTCTCCTTTTGTCTCCTTGTCCCAGATATTTGCATTTGTGGTGACACTATGCTATGGCTGCAGTCTGGTGATGGGCTTCAAGAGGTGGAGGATGTAGCCTTGAAAACCAGCGTAAACTAGTTTTGTAACTGCTTCATAACTTCAGCATGTATTTAAACATCAGCCACACTATCCAGAGCTCGACAGAGAGCATGGCTATTGAGTTCAGTTCAGTGCAAACTTTGTTATTTCCTGATGGGAAACAGCAAAGCTTTAGATGATAAAATTTCTGCCTTAGTCAACACATTTGTTAAGATTTCTGGACAATATTATTCCTACAGGTTTCAAACAGGTTCAGTCTGGGCTGTTTAAGTCATTTTAAATAATAGCAGTCTACAATGTTCACATAACTTTATATATGAACACTCTGAGGCAACACAGAGTGATTTTGCAAGATGCAATTAATGCTTGTGACAGTTATGGTTTTGTTTTGCCACCCACTTTGTTAATCATACAAATATTTCCCCATACTCTGTGTAACATCCTCGTTGGAGGGAATATTTCCCATTTCCAATACCAAGAAATATGCCAATGTATGCTGCTATAAGTTAGTATGCACAGCTAAACGTTAATGTGATGCAATTTCATCGAAAGACTTTAATATTGCCCCATTTCCTGAGTCACATCCTCATTGGAGGGAATATTTCCCATTTTTAATACCACAAAAAATGCTTCTGCATGCTGCTAATCGGTTATGCACTACAGAACAGTAATGTGATAGTGCAATTTGTTTGAAAGAGCCTTTAAGGCAATGTGACGTTTTCACTGTCCTCCAGTAACCTTGGTGCTAAGAAGCTGTAAAATCACTCTATGTTGAAAGCTGGAGTGCTGAACTTTGTCTCCCCCCTCTGGCAGTGAGAGTAATTACACAAACACTGTTGAAGTGTGCTTATGATGAATGCCTGCAGGTGAACTTGAGCTTTTGTTTTTTACTTGTTTTTATGTAGATGAAGAGCTTTTGGAAAGGTGCAAAATGAAAGTATTGTTTTTCCTAAAAAATATATTGTGAATTAATCATTTTTTAATTTTTGTGGGGCAAATGGTCAGCTCAATGTCTGCCCGGTTGCCATGAGCTAACACTTACACCAAAATTGCCCATCTTTGTTGCTAAATCTGTTAATAACTGTTAGGTAACGTTAGCTGTAGGATGCTAACAGTTTGCCCTGTAAATCTGTGTGTGCAACAGACTCTGTCCCCGGTGTGGAGCTCACACTCCTGCAGCAGCAGTCTCCTAGCGGATGTAGACACAGGGGGACCACAGATGTTTCACAATAAACAGAGCAAGAGCAGGACAGATCATAGAATAAAGGTACTATATGCCAGCACAGAGTCACTCTCCACTCGACCATGACACGTGCAGGTTGTGCAATAAACGGGCAACTACTTATGCTTCGAGCAACAGCACTGTGGTGATATTAATGCAACAAAAGAGGGAAAGGGGAGTGTGACATCTTGTAGCTATTAGCTGCTTTAATCCTTCCTCTGAATGCCAAGCTACCTTTCTAACTGGAGCATCTACACCAGAAACTTTTCTCAAACGCTTCCTATTTTCCTCCAGGGTCCTAGCTAATCTTCAATCGCTATTGTCTCTCCCCCCTTCCTGCCTATTTAGCTCTGGCTGGTTGACGTAAAACGCATCACTTGTGTGCTAGCACAATAAATTTGCCGCAGACATTACAGACAAGGGTGGCATGGTGGTTCGGTGGTTAGCACTGTCACCTCACTGTCACTTCACTGGGTACTCCGGCTTCCTGCCACAGTCCAAAGAATGGCATGAATGGTTGTCTGTCTCTATGTGTCAGCCGTGCAATAGTCTGGCGACCTGTCCAGGGTGTACCCTAGTTGTCGCCCACTGATAGCTGGGATAGGCTCCAGCCCCCCCCCCCCCCCCCCCCCCCCCCCCCCCCCCCCCCCCC